CTGGCTGGCATGTGGTGCTGGGGGATTGAACCGCGGTCCCTGTGCTCTGCTAAGCTTGTTCTAAGTAGGTGCTTTAGACCACTGAGCCATCTCACCAGTCCCTGAAAACATTTTTTTCCCTTAAGGTTTTATCTCATTGAACTTCCTCCTGGGCAGGGGTGGGGAGACCAACCTCATACCTCTGGGGAGGCTGAGACAATTGGCAACTTAGCAAGATCCTGTCTCACAATTTTAAAAAATGTAAAAAGGGCTGAGGATATGAGTTTTATTCCCAGTACTGGGTGAAGAGACCTGAAAGCTTATATTTTACTTCTGCCCCGGTTTAGACGTTGCTTATTCCAAAGGCTCATATCTCAGGAGTTATGTAAGAGCTAAAGGAAGAGGTACAGCCCAGCAGGGGGCCCTTTATCACAGCCACATGTCCTTAGGAGGAAACATTTTCTCTGGTGGGAGTACTGAGATAGCAAGGGCCTCAATGTTAGCAAGAGCCTCTTGTTACAAAAACCTGACCCTTGACCTCTGGCTTTCTGTATGGAGGTGTGACCTCCCCTCCCACACCTGCGCCTGCTGTAACTAGATGCAACTAGCAGGCTCTTCCCAGAATGGATCAGGCCCTTGAGCCTCTAAAAGTGTGAGCTAAATAAACTTTTTCTTTATAAAGTTAGCCTGCCTCAGGTATTTCATCACAGTAACAAGAGACTGATAGAGCTTCTCAGATTTGCTCCTTCCATTTTACTCAAAAATACTCAACTTTCTAGGAGATACTAAAGATGCTAAGGACAAGCTTCAATGTTTATAAGCAAGTTTAGCCAATTCTGTCAACTAAATAAAGAAAATGAGGGTCAAGGAAATAGCTCAGTGGTCTAAACACCTGCCTGGCAAGTGCACAGACCTGGATTCGATCCCCAGTACTGCATGCTGTGCCACCTGGCTGGCTACTGAAACCAGGAGTGGTGGCGCATTCTTATAATCCCAGTGGGGAGGCTGAGACAGAAGGATCACTACAAATCCAAGCTGTGTAGTGAGACACTGTACCAAATAAATAAATAGAAAAGATTTCTTT